GAATTGTTCGTCTCGCGAACACTGTTCTTCCCGAGGATCGCCCAAAATGTTGATGCGATCCTGGTACTCATACTGCAATATAAGGCTGTTAAGCTCGCCGTCGGCGATGAGGTTGGGTGCTTTGAGCGCCATGCAGACGCGGGGTGCAAGGATCGGTCCTTGCGCGCGCTGGGCGTTCCAAGTGCCCCTTGCTACAATACCAAGGTGCGTAGGCACCCCAAGAAACCCTTGAGTCCGAATGGGGGGTGCAATGTCTCGGTACAAGGGTACCAGGTCATTGCCCCCCAGGACGATATCAAACGTAAGAACCATTTCTGTAAGGATTAGCCGATCCGCCAGGTCGAATTTCTCTAACCAGGGGACGGCGCACGGGTTAGAACCCTTCCATGGCTCGACGTGAGGTACAACGAGTGCCACAGTCTGAAAGGTGGGGGAGGTAGGCACTGCCCCCCTGTAGGTGAGGTGAACAGCCTCTGTTGCTGTTACAGGATTAGCCCGTTCTACGCCGCCGATGATGTATGGCGGGCATGATTCTGTGACCAAGTTTAATCGTTGGACGAGGGCCCGCAAGATTAGTGTGAGCTGGGCCCCCAAGTTGAGGAGAGCATACGCAGTATGCCCTTTAGGAGCCGCCGATGATGTATGGCGGGCATGATTCTGTGACCAAGTTTAATCGTTGGACGAGGGCCCGCAAGATTAGTGTGAGCTGGGCCCCCAAGTCAAGGAGAGCATACACAGTATGCCCTTCAGGCTCCAGGCGGATTGCGGCCGTTTCTAGGAAGGCGCACGTGGGCCCGGGTCGCGGAGCAGAGACGACCAGGACAACGCGGCGTTCGGCCGCCGGTGGTTGTCAGACGGCTGGAGCGGCACGTTGCTGTGGCACAATCGGGGCGGCCGCGGCAACTGCAGGTGCGGCTGGCGCTGCCGGCGCTGGTGGCGCGACCGGAGCTGCTGGCGCCGCCTGTTGGACGGCCAGGGCAGCTACGGCCGCGGGCCATCCTTGCTGTGCGGGCTGTTGATTCTGCTGACGATTGCAGTTGCACGTCGTCGTGTGATGCGGCTGCTGGCGGTGCCGGCATCTGTTGGGCAATGTGCAGTATTTGCCGTAGTGGTCTTGGGAGAGACAGTTGCTGCAGAGCCGACGCTGGCGGATTGCATGCAGCTTGTCCCGAACCGAGAGGTGGCACCGGGTCGCCGTGTGGTTTCCGGCGCAGAAGGGACACGTCCCTCGATCGTGTTGGTCCCGGCAATTGTCCCAGTAGTTGTTGTCCCGATTGCGACGGGAGTGGTTATCATTGCAGCGCGGTTGGCCGCGATTATTGTTCCATCGGTTAGGGGAGCGACTTTGGGGTCGGTCGGAGGAACGTCCGCGCCGCCGCCACTTGCATGGGGGGCTAGCCGCAACCGCTGGTGTGGCGGCTGCTGCGGCAGGTGGGGCCGTGGCCGGGGCTGCGGCGGGTGCTGCGGGAGCCGCTGCGCCGTCAGCTGGGGCCGCTGCGCCCTGAAATGCGAGAACTGGTGGCACCTCCGCCATGCGGAGTTTGTGCGCAAAGTAGGATCGGATAAATTGGTACTGCCGATGAGGGCGTGTTGCCCAGACTGGGTCTAACTCAGGCATCTGAGCGTGGCGGTCGGTGTAGGCCTGGAGTACTTCCAGGTAATTACCGCGTTCTAGATGTGTGCGCAGGACCGGGCCCACGTGGAGGTGCATGAAATTCATGTCGGTCTGAATTGTGCTCAATTTCTCAGTGATTTGGATGACTCTGTTGAAGTAGTCGTAGAATTCTGGGAGCGTGTTTGGTGCGGGAAGGCGATCGAATTCGCAGTAGAGCTTCAGGCGTACCACGTCTGTTTGCCCGTACTCGGAGAAGAGCACCTGGAGAACGCTAAGGTAATCCATGTTAACGTCTTGGTACGCGAATGCGCCAACGTTTTCTTTTGCGTCACCATCAAGGTGAAGGAGCAACACTCGGATTCTTTTGATGTCCGTGAGTTGCGCGGCTGGAATAATATGGACTGGCAGGAAATCGCGCCAAAGGCGCTCAAACGGATAGTTTGAGTCCGCTTGGCCAGTAAACTTGTTGAAGGAGGCGTCGCAAGCCTGCTTCTCGTATGATTTAACAAGGTCATGGTGGGAGAGGCTGGTGGGTTGCCCTGTCCTGTATGTGGCGAGAGCGTGGTGATACGCCTCGTAGGGTCGTCCCTGCGGTTGCAGGATTGAGGAAGGCCCGGACTCCGAATTGCCGTAGCTGGCCGGAGCTGGCAGGTGTAAGAGTGCAGGCGCCATGGGGCGCAGAGGGACAAGTTGCCCCATTGCGGGATGTGACGCTGCCGATCCTGTGCCGCGTGATGTGCTTGGCATGTGCAACGGTAACACAGGAACCGGCGCCCCCCTGGGGGAGGGCTGAGGTGCGGCGTGCGCCACCGATGGCATTGGCAGCACTGGTGCCTGCGGCGTTGCGGGAAAAGCAACCCCTAAAACGCGCGGCTGTGTTGGGCAGAGGTGCGGCCACCCCCCGGTCATGACATCCATGGATTGCACCAAAAGGGTGCTCACCTCGGTTGCCAATCACGTGAGGGCAGCGATTTCGGGCTGCGAGAACGCAGCAGGAGATAAATCTATGAGATGCGCAGCGGCATCAAAAAATTGTGGTACAACGCTCTCGAAGCGTTGTTGCGGATCGCCGAGGTTGGGCGTCCACAAGATATGGTCCACCGCGCCTACCGCATTGGCAAGACGGAGGACCTGCTTAATAATTGAGGGGCGGCGTGCTGTAGATGCCGAAGAGCGACCACTGGAGGCCGCAATTGAGGCGGCGCCGCGAGACGCCGGCCTTGGAGATCGCCGTTCGACGCCTGAAAGAGGCGCTTGTTGTGTGCGATGCGAAGAGCGTGACCGCGCACTATTATGGCTACCATTGCTGGACGGGCTCGGGGATAGGCGATGCCGTGGCCTCGCCGGTAGAGGTCCCTGCCGTCGCGGAGGCTGGCGCGTACCGCGGGTACGGCTCGAGATGGGCGGCGTGCTGGGGACTGCGCCTTCCTCACCGTTCATTGTGCCAAAAATATTTCACACAAAAAGAACTGGTGAGTACTTACAGGTTTCTTCCAGAGGGTGAGGTGGGCTGGGTGTAAACGGATGGGCAGCAAGGCTGCAGGTTCACACTTGTAAAATTCACACTTCGATAAAGAAGGGAACTGTTGCCCAAGATTCGCAGAAAAAACCGGGGTTCGACCTCGTAGAGGCAAACCCACTGGCCACCACTTTTGTCAGGCCAATTGATGACAAATAAAAGTAGAGAAAGGAAAAGACGCAGTCACTCAGCCTTTAACGGCCGGATCCTCTTTAGCAGAGTCCCTTTAGAATAATCAGCTTTATCCACACACGCATAAACCACAGAAGGATAAAAAGGTACCCAGAGGTACAAACAATCACGCTAGGACGCAAATATAGTTTCCACAGTCAGGTAAACCCACAAGCTCTCAGACGTAGCTCTCGAGATGTGATGTTCTTCTTCCCGAAGCCCCGAAGGCTTCGGGAGCCGGCGTTTGCTGCCGGAAATGATTATCTTTGTTCTTGACCCGGTTTACCGCAATGAGGTAAACCGGGTGCCCTATCCGCTTCCGGGTTGGCGTGCAGGTGTTGCTGCGCGGTATACCCGAGCGAGGATGCTACGCTCGGGTTGCCGCGTGGACGCGACCCCACACCTGCCACAATCTTGGGAAACCAAACTTTTGCAATATGGTAAAGGTTGCACTCATGTTTCCAAAAGTGAATGCTGTGCACCTGCAGTTAATGGAGCTTGTACAGTGCTGCTGTGGAAACAGATGAGGATCAAAGAAAGATGGTGTGTAATTTTCAGCAGTCGTGAAATCAAATTTGTACGTTTAATAGCAGCTTCATCAAACCGAGAACCCTGTTGTTAGCCACAACCCCGATGTATTTCTACCATCACTTGAATGAATACGAAGCGAGCGGTATTAATGAACAACATTTGTTTTGACTCGATTTAGCATCAACTGCTACAAATAGGAGAACAACAAAATAAAAAGGAACGCACGATGATTTCCCAAAACCGTTTCGCAAAGACGAAGAAAGCATCAGTCGGCAAAACGGGAAGTTAACCTTCCACACACAACGTCATAAATTGTCTCGCGATTCAATTCCGGCGAAAGATGAACTTAAGAGCGACAAAAAAACGAGCGTCACTTCACTTAGCTCCCTAATTGCAAGCAACCCCGCAAGAAAGCCCGGGGACACACTCAAAAAGCTAACTTTTCCAGTGACGCCTTCAGGATCTAACCCTTACTAATATATTGTATGCAAAGGCTATTTTCATAATATGGCTGCTGGACAAAACACGAAGCAGAAATGATGCAAAACCCCAGAGTGTTCATAAAAAAAGGGTTTTTGGCCGAAAAAGCCTCCTGTTATTGACATATTCACTCCCGAACAACAGGGCGCTAAAACGGCCACGCACACACATTTAAATTAATGCATTTCGCTGGGTGTCAGTCCAGGGCTCTTCGAAAAGTTTCAGAACATGTGCATGTTGACAAAGTTTTGCTTGTTCTTGAATTGCCCCCAGCCGTTGTTTGACTGCTGGGCTGCCTTGTTGCTGTTCCAGCTGTTGTCCTGGCCAAAAGGGCTCGACTTTGCCTTTGCACCGGACTTCGAATAATCAAAGCACCTGCATAAATGCAATCGATAAATAATCAAGTGTTACGATTTGAAAATGGGATCAAGTCCATTATAATTCGCAAAAGTGAACGAAAACGCAGCAAGCGCCGCGGGAAACCGGAAATGAAATCCTGAAACAGCTCGAAATGCGCATTTCTTTCTGCTGGAAAACTTCAATACAGAAGGATTTGTTGCTTATTAAATGAAATAATCAGTGCAACTGATTCGTTTTTTTTTGTCCGTGCCTGAAAGCCGAATTTCATTTTAATAAATATTTCGATTTTTTTCATGAATCTTTTTTCTGGCCCCAATGGCTTATTTGTTTTATACCAAGATTGTATTATTCCATGACTCAACCAACTTGGCATTGATTTTAAGCAGTCAGCAAATCATCAAAACCTAAATTAATCTCGTCAAAAGCCTGAACTGGAATTTTGAGCCATTTATTTCTGTCTAGCTATTCTCCAGGATTCATTCGGTATTGGGATTTATGACTCACTTGGCATCGCATTTGTCGCCGAGAGCAACCTGAGGCCCGTTCTTGGACAGTTCGAAAACCATGGTTGAGATTGGTCTTTATGGTAGATATTTCTTGACGAAATCAAAAAAATGTGGCTTCTTGCAGAAGTTTTGAAGCGGGGAAGCTTCGCAAATGGAGAGCCGCGGAAGCGCTTGGTTACGCTGTCTTCAAATTGAGAAGAGAGATTTTATCTTCAGATTCACTTTGTTCGACGGTTGATGAACGTGATAGTTAGCGTTTGTCGTCCAAAGTGACTCTTCAACTGAGAATAAAAAAATATATAAAATTATAATTCGTTGAATACAGATCTTGTGCAGAAATATGCGAGCAACTCACCTTGCCGAAGCTATGGAATGTGCTGCAAGTAGGTGAGGACTTGATACTCCAATCTGTTGCCCGAGTTTCCTAGGCGGCTGCCCTTTCGGCAATGTAGTGTGTTAGTGAGGCTGAAATTGACAGAAGAAACTTTATTAAATGACAAAATAATTTTAAATCTCTATGCGTCTCAAAATGCTCTTTCATAAAATTACAAATATCCGGCCTTTAACTCGATATTCCTGACGCGTTTCGGGGAGAGAGAGAGAGATTCTTCAAGCAATATAACATTCAAATTTTATGAAAGAATTTTGAAATCCACGCTATTTGACGCCCGTGTCATCTTCCATGAAATCCGCTATTGTGAAATTTCTTACACAGCCCTGTTCTCCGTCTGTGAAGCATGCAAAATTTGTACTGGGGGTGACTTTACGCAATTTCTGCAGGGCGAATAAATCACCACAACTTCCCTGTCGCTATACATGGTTCAATGAGTTTCAGCTCATCAATCTTTGAAACGCTTGCTATAATTTTGTCTTCGGAAATCACTAGAGAAAGTCAAGGGGCATGCATAAATAAACCAGAGAGCTTCATTTGCAAGTGATGAACGCTCTTCGACCCTGAATTGGGAAGTGCATGTATGTATGTGTTGACGGAGGTGTGTTTTTCCTGCTTACTCCATTTGTTACTGTTTTTTTCGTCGGGGAATACATTTTTATGTGGTTTTCTGAGGCAATATACACACGACCAGAGCCAGTTCAAGTACAATACTTTTTTCTACATCATCTTTTTTGCACACAATAATTTTCCGGATCAATAATTCAATATCTGGAGAAAATGTCTTCTGTGTTGATGGCATTCTTGACTTTCGGGGGACAGAGAGGATTTTTTAGTGGCTGAACTAAAAACAAAACAAACTTTTTCCAACGTCGCCAAAAATTTGGATACAGTCGTATACTTTAAATTCAAAATTGTTGAATCTCCACTTCTTCAAATTTCTGGCGTAACGAATAAATAAAAGAAAACGAGACCCAGTATCGATTTTTTCGTTGAATATTTTGATGAGGCTTCTTAAGTTTTGATTTATATTGATAAATGCAGCAGACGCTCGTAGTAGAAGCACAGTTTGAATTTTTAGTCAACGGTTTCGAGATTTCTGATCGTTTTTATAATCATATACGGCCCCAATTTAGAATTCGACAGCTCAATCGTGCGCCAGCAGTACGTGTTCGATTTACAAAAATGCCCACGAATGCAAATTCTTTCAGTCCGCGTTCAAAAGAAAGACCCAGTCATTTCTGGAAGAAGAAAAAACAGTACAGGCTTCAAAAACTTGAAAATTTTGCGTTAAAATTTGGAACACTTCATGAAAAAAAAAATCCCAAACCGTCTGTAGAATTTTCATGTGCAAGTTTTCGAACTCAAATAAACGAACCACGGTTATTTTAAATAGCAGTCAACACGCTTGCCAAATTGACAATGTCTCGTTTTTTGACATTTAAATTTTCACGAAATGATTCATTCCACATTTTAAATGTAAGTTAGCACAGAAATGGGACAAAATCATTTGTCATTTCGGCCTGTACGTTAAGCGAAACACATGGTCCATCAGCTAAACTAAACATTGTCCATGTCTTGTACCAGAAACAAGTATCTTGCAGTACTCATCCTCCACACATACAGGATTACAATCCTATGAATCGTCAGACAGGTTGAAATCATTATATGGTCATTGACATCACATAAGCCTTTAAGCACTTCGTAGAACCCAACAAACCTCATCAAACGTTGTTCTCCTTGAAAACGAGCTGCAACATGGTGCATTGACAAGGAACCCATTTTTTAGCCCAAGGTATGCGGAAGATTATAACCAAAGCGAAATGCTTGCCTTGATGTCAAACCCACCATGTTCCTGATTCTAATCTGAATATTTTATAACCCTCGTCGAGTCTTGGGGAGGACGAAACAAGGAAAAGGTTTTTCGATGAACTAGATGACAAACAAGGGCTCAGCATTTTAACGAATGACTTGAAAAAATACGGAGATTTGCGCTTTCAAAAATCGAAATATGAACTCCACCAAAATTTTTTTTATCTCACGAGATGAATTTTTCAGAGGCATAAAAATTGGCTGATGGTCTGAGATACTCACGAATCTTTCTGGTGAGTCTTTGGTTTGGAGTAGGCTCCTGTTTGCATCTACACCAAAGTCGGTTCTCCGATCATAACAAAAAAATGACAACTTCAAAAAAATCACGCTGAATGAATCAAACCTGAAAAAAAAAGAAAAATCACAACATCACTTCTGGCCAACAGCGAACCCAGTCCATGAACTTCCCCGCGGATAAGTGATAGTAACAGGCCTTGCGCCGCATGGAAATCTTGCGCCGCGCACAACTATCGAAAATAAAATTGATACATGTACTTGAAAATGTTCTTGATAACTTCAAAGTACATTAATGAAATGATCGAAGGCACAGATCGTGCAGGTGCTCATTGAGCAAAGAACGTTGAGAGAATGACCGTGGGACCTGCGCGGGCCCAGATTTTAAGCTCGACTTCGGATCACGTTTCCACCGCCTGACAGAATGACTGAACAGCAGAAGGAAAAAATGCTTCAGTTTGCATTTATTTCTTCCTGCCACGAAGGGGATTCGGTCCATCACCAACTCTGGTACTTTTCTTTCAGGAATCAATTCCAACAAGGTTCCCACAGCTTCCTGCTGTTCCCCGTTTAAAATTGTGTCAAACGTTACATTTCGAACACAATAAGACGAAAATTGAAAGACGATTGTATCGGCTACGGTGTTGTTAAAAAATTGTGAGCGTGTAAAAAGCATGGAAACTGAAAGATTTTTAAAAACAAAAAAGCAAAAAGTTTTTGAAAATTGTACACAAATTGGGAAGAAAGATTTCACTTTTTAATTTCTGATTTCAAATTGAACATTTTCCATTAAAAAAAAATGCATAAAACATCAGTGAGCATAAAATTGTGTGAGAAATTTCAAGTTTAGTCAACAGAAGAAAGGGTAGAATGAGGTAAAAGGAAACTTTCAAATGCCTGTGGTTCCGTTCCCTTTCCACATTTTTGATATATGAAAATTTGCCAAAAAATAAATTTCCACACCAAACTTCAAATTTTCAACATTGGTGCCCGTGCAAGGAAACTTTAAAATTTTTTATGCATTAAAAATCCTCAAAATTGACAGACTAACAAAAAAGTGGAACAACTTTCTTCTAAATCACTTTCTTAAAATTTCAATTTTTAAATTTTTAAAACAGATGGCATACAAATCAAAGGGAAAATCAAAACAATTGATAAGTATTGATTGCAATGTTATCGAAGGAAAATAACACAAAGAAAAAGGCATACAAATTAAGATACATTTCGCCTATATTTGTAGTTTAATATTGCTTAACATGGTAGCGTCATTCTTCTGGTTTCATCTTACAATCATGTCTCTTACTATAGAATCAGCCCCAGTATGAGAAAAAGTTTTTTAGAATATTTCTAGCCATCTTCACCTGGAAACCAACGAAATGGTTCTTCCCGATGACGCTGGATTTTTTCCTTTTTCCAGGGTATCCATATTTTTGAGTAGATAACGTAGAAAAATGCTGAATGAACCCTTCACATAGAGCCATCTGTATAAAGTCGGGGTTGCAAAACTGTCTCACCAGGAATGTGTTGAAACCCCGTCCATATTTGTTTTGTTATGGTAATTCAAGAGCCAGAGTTTCTGGCCCCATGGCGGGACTGGGCAGCCACATTTCCAATCACGCAGTCAACACGTGTTTCCAGAAACCCAATTCCTGCTCAAATGATACCCGCTAGACAGAAAGATTCGAGTCTCAGCTCGTCCTTTGTTTTGATGGTGGGGTCACTTTCTTGTACGAATTGCTGTAAAAAAAAAGTATAGAGAGAAGTAGCAGTCATTAGCATTGGGTGGAATACTTGAGTACACGAAATACAAGGAAGGGAATTTGATTTATATCGACCAGGACGTCGGTGACGCGATACACGCCTGTACGTCGGCGGGAGTGGGGGGGGGGAATCAAATCGGCTGGCAAGAAAATTATCTCAGCCTTGCCAAAAAATAAAATAAAAATTTGAAAAAAAAATCCACATCAAATTCACAGATATTAGCGATGCTCAATAGTCCAAAAAGTAATCCTATCAAAGCAGGAAAAAAAATGAAAGCCGAAATTGTACAGATTTGAGATAGAAAAGAGAGACAGCATACAAAGGTTTGGAAAATTCTCCGGCTTATTACCTGAGAATTTTCCATACCGTCAACTGTTCGATATAATATTTTCAGTCAGAAAAGTAAATACTCTTGTGTTTTTAAAGTGATGCTGAATTTTGGAGCACCTGTTCTAGAAAATTAACTTCGTGAATAAATTAGCATATTAACATATTTCACAAAAAAGGAATATGCAACTTTCTGTGCATCCGTGAACGATAAAATTCAACGATCAGTGCAAAAAACAGTTTTCCTTGATACAACTAAACAAATCTGGTCACATTCCGTAACTCGAGACTATTTCATGCAATAGTCTCGGCTGTTATGCGCGGAACAGTCAGAATTATGAAATAGTGTGTCACGAAAATGAAGTTGAATATGTGAAATTAGCTCAATCTGAGGCTATTCTTAAAGTCTACAACGTGGAATAAAATCATATCAGCGAATAGTCACAAATTGAAGAGCCTTGCTCTATTGGAAACTCGGAAGTGGGTGGGGTGCACTGCTATTGCTTGGGGTTTGTACCCCCCATCCCTGTTTATATTATTGAGCTGCAGAAAATTTACTTTTTACATTTTTTTTCACAAATGTCAGTTCCTTCTTACTGACTGATGTGTTGGCAACTTTGAGGAACCCGGAGCCCGAAGACAGGGAAAAAGGGACGACCGAGTTCCTCTCCCCAGTCAGGCGTCGCATGCGTGAACCCAACGTGTTCACTCAAAATTCAGAACCGACGCAAGTTTAGCACCCGATTCGCCAGCGACACCCAGGAGAAGGGACTCCAACCAATGATGGGTTCATAAACAATAAGATTTCTGTACTGTTAGTCTGTTAACCATTTGTGTTTACCCTTTCCCAGAGAGTTCCTTCGGTACACGCGTGTCGACTGTGTGACACTTCCTGCCAGGCGTGCTGCAACGGCGAAAAGCATATTCAGGCTTTATTAAAAGAATAATATTGCCAGGAATATTGCTGAGAGTATAGTCAAAGAAATAAAAATGCATTATCAATTAATTTCTTCCCAACATTTCTGCTTCGTAGCTGTTTTTTATTGATTTTTTTCTTGATGATATCCGTATCAAATAATTAAGCCGGATTGTTACACATGTTTCTAGAAGTCCGCCATGGCCTATAATATTTGATTAAATATTTCTTTTGCTTTTTTTGAAAGTAAATTTATTAATTTTTTCAAGAAAATGGACTTGGAGTGTGAAAATGAAATGAAAATGGACAGACCAGCTCTGCGGGCAGTTTTTTTCCCGCCCAACAGACAAAATCTGCCAAAAAAACTTCTGTTGGTTTAAAATCAGTGTTGACACTTTAAAGTTTCAATTTTTTATATGATTGAATTCTAAAGGACTTTTTTTTCTAGCAGACTTGTCAATTGCACAAGTTAAGTCTGTTAGATGGAGATTGACTGCACAGTATTCAACTTTATGCATGTTACACAAATAAACTTCCTTGGACAGAAAGCCCTTCAAACCCGATGTGCAAACCTATTACCCAAATCAACTCTGAAAAAAATGCAGTGCTCATCATCTCTTTGATTGTTTGTAATGCTGTTGCATGACTTGAAACAGGCTTCTGCCATTGCCCTAATTTTATTTTGACAGGGATAACCAGAATTGATTGTTTTCCACATTTGAATCATTTTCCAAGCAGGCAAGGCATGAATCTGACAAAGAAGACAAAACCAACACAGTGGACAAATGAAGATAGAAAGAAGATGGGATGAAAAAATGGAGGAACCCATGCCCAAATTACTCACATGTGTTCTCTTTCTATTGAAACTGTGTCAAAAACCTTCGGAAAAACGAAAGTTCCAACCCATCAGAAGGAAAGAGCAAGGTTGGGAATAAAATGGTTTGAGAGAAGAGAAAACCTAAGCTTTATTCTTTCCCCATGGGGAACAGGGCATTTATTTTGTTATCCTTCCCTGGTTGTGGTGTAGTTTTTCCATAAATGAAGTCATTAGGTGTTTATATTTGTATAAGAAATGCTCTGTTTGATGCATGTAATGAATGGCTGAAGGATAGAGTCTGGTTCTGCTTACATATGGAATAGAGTTCTGTCAAAATAATTTGACAAGTAAAGTTCCTGGATTTTCTGGACCAGGGTGTATTTGGTATTCAGGTACACATTTTTTTAAAAGGAAGAATCATGAAACTGGTTTGTGATAAATTTAAGGCATTTTAGGGGGAAGAAGCGAATTTTTGTTCAGTGCCAATATGATTTGCATTAGTTTTCTCCATTACAAGTTGATCTTGTAACAAATTATTGCTTGAAAAAATATGTATGTTAGCTGACAGAAACTGCTTCTCGTATCTCATACTGCTATTTCTGTTTGGACAACACAAAAATATCCGCGGATAACCTGAAAATCAATTCTACTATGCCATGCAAGCAATTTTTTGGTCAGAGAATATGTTGCTCCTCCGCCACTAGAAACTAGAAATCCAATTCCTCATTTAAATTTTGATTGATCTTCACGAAGCAGAACAATTTTTTTTTCTTTGATATAGAGATAAAGGGTTGATACGAAGTGTGTATAACAATATAGGGTAGCGTGTCTATGGTGCAACATTTTATCTCGCACTTTCTATCATAATATTATTTTAATTTCCTGTGACCGGTTTTAATGAGAAAAATCGTAACTCATTTGATAAATTTTTCCGTGTCCCTTTCTTACGATTGCCTTGCATGTTAAGTTTACGAGCTGTGAAACCCGTGATGTTTAAGCTGTGTCCTGCGGACGATTTTCCATTTTTAAGAGATTCATCAATCATCTAAAGCTGGTATATTAAAAAGGTTGAAATTATGCGAGAAGTTTATATGATGTAAAATATAAATCTTGCAACGATAAACTCCCGGGGACGCAAGAACAGAAGTGATACAACACACAATTTGATGCATTACATTCCCGAAAAACTTAGTCTGATCGCATCGAACGTCAGGTTTTTTGGGACAAATTGACATGGCTGAAAATGCAATCAGAATAACGCATTTCTCACAGTAGGTGAGCAGTAACAACATTTCTCCCCGCGTAAAAATAATTTGATTGTTTAAATAATATTGGGGATTTTTTCAAAAATCACGGAACAAATGATGCCTGTGTGTACTGATCTGTGACAATTCCATGATAGGATTTTCTTTAGCATTATGGCTATTGAGTTTTGGTCAAGATTTCGAGAAAATTCCATTACGATACTAAATGTCGTAATAAGTCAGTACTGTATTATAGTTATTGAAAAAATTGACCTGGGTATCAGAATTTTGAATTCCGTCGTATCTCGAACCATCACAGACGATCACTCCGTGTTCGCGAAGGTGAATTTGTTTCATTCTATCTGTCTTCCTGGAAATATCGAAATATAGTAATCGAACTATTGCGACGGAGAACTTATTGAACAAATTCTCGTCATTTTCTTTTTTTGGTTATTGCTATTTTTTCTTGTTGCCAATGCAATAGGCGAGACGTTTGAGTGATTGAAAATTCTCAAGAAAGCTTTAAAAAAAGCCAAGTTTCTCAACCTATTGTACAACACTTGAACAAAGAAACTGAGTCTGTCTCAAGAGTTCAGTCGTGTCACTACTTGTCCCGAAGCAATAAATGATGCATATCCTTCAGCCAAAGAAGTAGACGTCAGTTCATCGAACCTTGAATGCATCATCTTGTCCTCACAATAAACCTACCCAGAAGCTACTTTCGGACGGAGTATACAGAACTGCGCAGTGAAAAGAACAAGGAATGTACGGATACTTTCAGCCCACATATTTTGCTGCGTAGTTTCCAAGAAACCACTATACAGCTACTGCGCAGTTGCGTCAAAGATTTAAAGCTTACGAAGGGTTTTACTGTTGAATGAATGCCTGTTTCCCCCTTTTTTACTACCGGTGTAACAAGAAATGGAACAACTCGACGGGATCGTGAAACCGAACTTGCTTACTGCGCAGTCGAATCGGAACGTAATTTATTTTAGCTGTTCTAGAAGGTTGTTCAGGTTTGATGCCACAGTAGGAATGGCTAAAATCGGTCTAAAATGCAAGTTTTACCAATTTTTGAGATTGCGAATTTGTCTACATGACTCTAGGAAACACCTATGCAGATACAGAGGTGCTACCCCTTAATTGAACCCTAAATTCACTGCTGGACTAGGGTTAAATTGCAAGAAAATGTGTAAAATTAGGTAAAAGCATAACAAAAATACTATAAAAGTAGCTGAAGCAGGTCAAATTCTGGGGCAGAGGTCCAATATCAAGCCAACCTCCCAACAAATTCAACTGCCGAATTGCAGGATGGCAAATTTGTCGACGCAACAAATTTGCAATTGATGAATTGTGGGAGTTCAAAGTGAGAGTTACAGTCTGTACAATCTTGAAATAAGCACAATGAAAAAGCTCCTGCAAACATCTTTTGAAAATACTTTTTAATGCTAGAAAAGGTGATACTGTACATTCAGAAAAAAATTTTCCAACCCTCCACAGGGAACGTTTTTTTAAATATGTGGAAACCGGACTTTCAATTGCCTCATGGATTATAATATTATGTGATATATATAATACAGTATTACTGTATAATGTAAGACCAGTGCGTGATTCATTATTTTTCCAATAAAATACGCATATACAAATATTAGCTTGAAAATTTTGAACACACCAGAACTTCAACTCAGAATTCCTTTCATATGAACATGAATTAAATGAATATAAACTTATATTAATATGGACACACGTGCGGAGTACATGAAACGCATCGACACCATGCATCATATAGCAGAATTTTTGTTGATCTTTTCGGAGAATATGATTAGAAATTTTCTTTTATTGAAGAAATATATTGTTCATATATACAAAATGGGGAATCCCATTCTTACCAATGCATAATTTGTGTATATCATTTGAAATGCGAGAAAATTCGAAGGGGATGAATTTGTGTCCTCCCTAAAATAAGAAACACAATTTTCTCATGCTGCACCATCGGCCAATGTTTTCTTTCCGTCGTCATCGTCATTCCAAGTTCACACTCAATTTCCTTTTCCTTTCAAGAAACCAAATGCCTGCAATACAGTGAACGTAAGAAAAAAAGGTCCGAACGGGCTCCTTAAAAAAACCAAATATAAATCATTCGCCGAGAATTTCAACAGGTGGATTCACAACGAAAAACAATTAAGTTTAAAATTTCCTCTCGAGTTCCCACCGCGTCACCCGAAAAGTTTTCATTTTTCCCGAGACCTAAACCACGTAATTTTGTAAAAATACAACGACACGCTTCCTTTAATTTTTTTTTCGGTCGCGCTTGTAATTTTTTTCTCCTTGCTCCAAAACAACGTAGAAACAAACACCGCCATCCGTGAAGCGGCCGGACGTCAGCAAAGATTCAGAAAAAAAAGAAGCTAACTCAGGATTTCTTTGCCAATGTTGTTTAGAAACAAAAGTGTGTTTTTGTTGCCATATCGTCGTCGTACAGAGCAGGAAAATGTCTGCGTTGAAGTGCTGAACTCGCTGAGTGCCCTGTCGTTCTCCATTCTCGTTGAGCTCAACTTCGAACGCTTCCGTGCTGGGGAACCAGACTTTTCTTTTCACTCCTCAGGCTGCAAAGAAAAAAGAGAATCGATCGTGAAATAAACATCTGGGCTTCGATTCAGAGCTATTTCATTCTGATCAAGTCCATGAACAGCCTTTAAAAGAAATATCCAGACCGATTGTAGAACTGAAACGTCGTGACACTTGAAATATGCGGTATATGTTTCAACATTCCCAGCCCTCGAACAATTTTAAATACATCATTGTCTCCAATAGCTTTCGATGTGTGCACAGAAAACTCTGTAGGATTCTTGAAATGTTCTCACATTTTCCAGTTTTCTTTTTTGCTAATTAGGATGAAGCTCTTATAATGAGAGAACATTGAATAAAATGTTCCGGATGGCCTATAGGAGTTCTTCACTTCGTATAAGGAGGTTCCGCTGGTTTAAAGCGCAAAAATGCAGAGATTTTGTCATTTTGAGGTAGAATAAAAGCTTACTCCGCAAAATAATAAATAATGAAAAGTGTATTTGAGTTTTCCTTCTTGTTTAAACTATGGTTAAACCGAAACAATGCATTCATTGAGAAAACCACGGGCACAGGATTTGTTGTGTATCTTTTATCCATCGTTCAAATTGAGCAAAAATATTCACGATGAGCGCAAAGTAATTGAGAGATACAGCATCTTCGCAAAAATTACTCCGGAAAAAATGCTATTGGAAAAATTTATAATAATCAGTACGTGCTGGAGCATCATTTCGCAAGGTCAAATTATTAGCAAAACTGAATTCCTCTTTTTCGATTCGAAAACATAATGGTTCGTTTTTGCGGGTATAGGTTATCTTTTCTAATTCTTTCGGCTCAGATTGTTTTTCACATTTCTTCTTGAATTTGGGTTTTTCGCACCAGATGGAAAGCGTTCTATACTAATACACCCACATGAAAAGCGTTGGAATATTTCTTACGAAGAAATTAATATTTTCTGATTTTTCCGACCCCGTGATTTTTTTTTTCTGGGAGATTTGTCTCACGATTACTTTATTTCTCCTTTCGGCCTGATTGAATTCAATTTTTTGAACGAAAGGTGTTCAATCCTATCAGAAATAGCCTTATGAAGTGGTATTCCACGTCAATGTCAAAATTGAGTACGGAAGTCGTACTCCAGCAAGTACATCAATGATTGATGATTTGCGATGCACAAGTGACCGGTGCTCGCCTTGAATTATTCACGAGCATTTCCTACTTTGGCTTCAATTGGAAGTAAAAATAACTTTGTTCGCTTATTTCTTGCAAAGGAAAACTAAAAATTCAAAAGCAATTCCTTCTCTTCTACGATTGAAGTTCGTATGTCATTTCGTTGTTGGCAGAGAAGTACAAATCCCTACGTCGACAAGTTCCCAGCAGAAAAATCTCAAAACTTTTTCGACGCCTCACGACTTTCTTCTCAAATTCGAAAACCTTTTCGCCAGCAATGATTGTTAAAAAAAAACGAGAACGTGTGTGCTTCGTATGAACTGAAGGAATAATAGAAAAACAGTTCCGCATATAGGCGGAACTTCGTTCCTATTTCGCTTTCCAAAACCCAGCACGCAACTTTTCGTCGCTTTCATAGAACATGGCCGTGAAAGGAAATAGAAAAAGTTACTTTTCACCCAGGAAATGATTCCGACTGTGTTAACGAGGTACCGTTGCCGTATTTCAAGGCTAAGCTTCCTGTTCTCGTTTCAGGAAGTCGAAAGACAGGCGGGATACAGTTGTTCTCATCCTGCTTTGGGTATCGTATATAGCGACCTTCAGTAAGTGTTTTTCCGGGTTCGACGCTCGATTGTAATGATGTTTTTATTGCATTTATCCCCAGGTATAGACCACTGTTACAACAGAGACAAAAGGATAAAAAACAATTCCCGTTTCTTATGAAAGGTTGTCATCAGGATTCCAGACTGACATTAACCCCGGCTATCATCGAAGTATAAAAGCTATAGTACTTTCGGGACGCTCAGAAAAAAAATAGATTTCCAAATGCTATCATGTCAGAAATAGCTGCAGTAGTATTCCGTTGAAGAACTAGAGTTCATTCAATTCTCTTTCGAAGGATGCTCAAGTTTTTAGGACTACTCTCACTACCGTACACAGTAGTTGAATTCGATCTTGAAAAAGTGAGATCATGGAGAAATAAGTTGCTCTGTTCTAGCTTTCGTAGAAGATTTTTCAAAGTTAAAAAAAAATAATAATGAATTGTATTAATTCTTCCGATCGCTCCCTGTCAAGCAAGATTCTTTTTCCTTCTTTGAGATTGCAAGGATATTTTTGTGCGGTCGAATTCATCGGTTTGACCTGGTATATTTGTGGAGAAGACCACCGAAAATTGAATGAGGTTCAGATAAACTCAACACCAGGGCTAAACCACATTCCTCGCTGATTTAAGACCTCTTAGGTTCATATTATAATTTCAGTAAACCAAAATCCGCGTTTGAAGAATTATTTTTGTACGAAAATTTTTTTTCATCATTTTTAAAGTGTCTTCAAAGAGTTGTTCCAAATTTTTCTCTGCATCGCTAGGACAGAAAACGTCTCAAAATGATCATAAAGGTGCCTTTAGCCAGTGACGAAAAAAATCCTTCAGTATTTTAGAGTGATTTTTTTATGGTGGTACTGTATACAAGAATTTTCAGAGAATGTTCGCATGTCTTTTTTGAAGGAAGAACATTGGGAGTGATAAAGGACTGCAGCTTTCGGCATCCCAGTTCAAAATCTTCGAAACATTTTTTTAAATAATTTATTGTGCATTCATTGATTTCCCTGACTGATTTTTGGCATGAACGCTGTCAAGTTATCGAAAATTTCCCCGCCGAGACTGCGATGTATTCGTCACTTTGCTCCCGCCTCGATGAAATAAAAGAGCAATGTCACTTCGAGAAAAGTTTCCTCAGCGTCGTATGATATGACACGAGAAGAAGACTCGGAAAATCGAGCCCCACATGCTTGTTGATCTCAGGTCGAAACTAGGGTATACACTATGAAAACAGCAGTTCCGACGATGGCCAAGGAAAGCAAAGCGACACGAAACCCGGTCTCTAATGAAACGTGGTGCGAACAAGGCTGAGGGGTGGGGCCCGGAAGTTTCGCTCCCAGGAATTAGTTTCCGCATGCACAATTCCTCCTGCTGTCTACTGCGAACGAGGTTTAATCAACGGGACCCTCACACTTGGCAGCTTTCCTCGTTAATGAACCCCGTCGCCGATTGCATTGTTCCGTCATCGACCTCATTTCCCCACAAGACTCTCGAGTCCCACGGCCCTGAAACCCCGGAGAATGTGTTTTAATTCCTTTAAGGGCAAGGAAGTGAAACCCACTCGTCATCCTCTCCCCCCGACTTGGTTGGGTATCACTGGGGAGTCTTCGTTTGAAGAAATAAATGAGGAACTGCTTTACATACCTCGGCAAACTCGCCAAGTTGTCATTCCATGTACTCAAGCATTACCAAAAAAAAAAGTGAAAACATCCTGATTAATTTTATGCGCAAGCGACTTCCTCACATTCTCAAATAATTCCGGACACGCGTGTGGTTGAGACAAAATTCAAAAATTAAAAGGCAGAGACTTGATGAGAATCAACGTTCGTAATGTCAAGAACAAAAGTTTTTTAATCGATTGTCTCGAGATATTGAACAATTTTACAAAAAAAAAAACTCAAGAACACTTATTAAACGGGTTAGGAAGACATAATTGCATGATAGATACAGAACTTCTCTTCGAAAACTTGCACATTTATTTCTCATGTTATGCATTGTTCATGATAAATTTAACCCTTCCAAAATATCAAAATTTTGAGAACCCCATGCAGTACGTGAAGAAAAAATCGGTTGATAATTTGGGGAAATCGAAATTTTTTTCGTTAAGCTCGTGAGGAATATTGGAAATTACTGAGTGATTTTAATTGATCAGTATTTCAGTTATAGATTCAACTTGCAAGAGTTCAAAAAAACTTTTTTGTGCAAATTAATCCAGAAAATTAAAATGAATTTATCCCCATTCACTCTTCACTTTTCAGGCATATGACCTCAGTGCTGGTTGTTCAAAATTAATGTTTCGAGGCTTTTGTTAAATTAGTCTTTAAAAAAGATTAGAATCGTGAACCTCAGAATCACAAAAATTTGACAATGAATTCGGTTTGACAAATGTCTAACTTTCATCATGTGTCGTGAATGATTTTGAACTTACACGCTTGCAGGTCATTTCAGGTTTTTCCCCCCTTTCTATTTCTAGCCCCGGGTCATCCGTTCAATACCAAGCCATCAGGGTGAAAAAAAGAGCAACAAATGGGGAAGAACAAATGGAAAATATCCGACCCGTCATTCCGTAATTGGATTCGACTTCGCCCTGAAATCGAACCCGCTCCAGTAATTCGAAACTCGGAAGCTGCACATTCCACATTGCTCCACGGCCCACAGCCGGCAGAATGATTCAAGGCAAGCCTGGTATCGATCTCATCGGAAACCATTCTGTCAATTTCCGAGCGAACCCCTATAACCCGAAACATCTCCAGCATGAGTGTAAAAATAATGAGAAACAGGAGAAGAATACCACGCCCGTTTCAGAAACACTAATTTGATCCGGGCAAGTGACGTACCTCGCTTAGTGCAAGGGTTCTGCGTTGCATCTCTACGCTTGTCAGCTAATTTTTCGCGACTATATAATCCTTTCTATGACTGAATCCAAATTTCGCGAGAGCCTAATTCTTGTGAAGTTTTTGTGAATCAGTACTTTTTCATTTCGCATGCCTTCTGAGAGTCCACTTTCGAGTATCTTCAATTTTCGAGCTCTTACTTCTATCCCATTTCTTCTTACTGATGCCTTACATATGTTCGCAAGTTTATCATAAACCTCTGTGTATGACTGAATCNAAAATTTTCTGTGAGCGTAATTCATGTGACATTTTTTCCAACAGTAAATTTTCCCTTTGCATACTTTTTGAGGGACCACTTTTGAGACTCTTAAATTTTTTAAGCTCTCACGTTTATCAAAATTTATTTTTACGAACGCCTATCTGTTCAAAACCTTTTTATCAACCTCATCAACTAGTCATTGTTAAGAACCTTGTAGCAGGTGGACTTTTTGTACAACGAAATTCAAGGAAGCAGACAAAATTCGTTTTGAAGAGTATTTCGTTGTAGAAAACTCATATAACATGGGGAGAGAAATGTAAGCCCAAGGGAAAAAAAAAATCGATATACAGATAAAATTTGTTGCAGACATAAAATATTTGTAAAGGAAGTTCACTTGTATATTATTCAAAAATGAATTTTTAATGATCATTCGCCCATGATGGAACAAACCTCACCTTTTCCAGCAACTTGAAGATATTTTAAAGTTTTTGGAAACCACTTACCAGATTCAAAGCAATTCTCAAGGACCGAATTCTTTAGCAAGAATGAATTTTGAAACTTACCGCGAACGGATAGACGAAGGTTGTGACTTCATCGAATCCGGCATCATTTTCCACACGACACGTGTATTCTCCCATGTCTTCAAAATTGAGATTTGCAATGACGAGGTCTCCGTTGGCTCGAACCTGCAAAAAGAAAAGAAAAAAGTGGAAGAAACACATACGATGAAGATTCAGCAACGCTTGTCTTCCCACTTGACACGAAGCAATTCCCGAGAAAATTTATGTCGGCAATAACCAGAGAAATTTCTCGCTTTCCAAGATATATTTCTTCGTCCCCAGTTCCGTTCGAGGACCAAAACAAAAAACAAAAAAACAACGCGCACATTTTTTTCTTCTTTACGCCCATGAAAACGAAAGAAAGAAAGATTCTGGACCCGAAACAGAGATGATTTAAATTTATTCATCAAAATATTAACGAGTATTTCCAACTTCACTCTCTCTCTCGCCAAGACCACATGGCCGCATTGCCGAGTCAAACAATCGGAAAAGGTAAACAAGTCAGTCAGCCACGTGGTTTTTGCCACACAGATTCATTCACATCCTGATGGCATTCATGCGCGACGGAAGCCAATTTCAAAGTACTACAAGTCCGGTTTTGTTCTTTGATTCTTAATAATGCAGCCTTGAGTAATAATGCGAGATCCATGGGTTCAATACCAAGGATGGGATGCTCAAGGATCGCGGCTGTCTGTTTCGGAATATTATAGATGGAAATCTCGGGATTCAAGTTGTGCATCGAAATGAGGGCTAACCCGGTTCTCGGGGAAACGAGTTATTATGGAACAGCGGAATGCCTGGTTTCGTTCAATTTGATAAAACAAACAATCTGGAAACTGCTGAACTTACCTAAATTGAGTTTGAAATTTTATATCGAGATTTTATCGTCGGGTCCTTCTTTCTGACATCTGCGGTATATAATTTGAATAGTATATACCCTGACGTGCCTAGCTGTATACCGCTTCTCTGAATAAATCGACAACATTTTTAACTGAGTCATGGAACGTGCGTTACGGTGATCATATGATTTTGTAGAGTAATATCGAAAATTTCTTCATGTTCTTCCATACTATACACTGGACGAAGTCTTCAGTCCCATGAGTTGATTCATCAAGTAAAAAAATCACAGTGAAGTGATGAAAGCACGCATCTTTATTAAACAATTAGAAGGAGTGAATACAACTTGGAGTTGTGCAAACCATTTTTTTCAGTTATGAAGAACTTGAGTTAGGTTGATAGCTTAATCTCTGATGCAGAAACTTGCAGACTACTGCTAAATTAACAGCAAGATATGCACAAAACTTGACGCGAGAATTTTCCGAAATCGCGGACCCAACTTCGGCCAACTTTTGCTCACTCATTGACCATTTTATCATCTGCAAGAATAAATGAAGAATAAAAATAAAAAATGCGGTAATCAGATGGCTTCTCTTCTTGGAAGGAGGTTGACGCGGGGAATTTTCATCGAAAATATGATTAAATCGCTGTAAATTTTTAGTAAAAGTTGAACTTCTGGAGTCAGGTGTGTCCGGTTTTCTCGAATTGGAAGATTAATTTTTTTTTCAATCCGTTTCAACCCCTATGGTAGTATGGACACAAAAAATTCAAATCGTGATTGTCAGGGAATACTCGAACTGACTGATGATATTCGTAAAAAAATAATTGAATGTTGCCACCAATGGACGAAAATGTAGGAGAAGCAATATTGGTGAAACTCAAGAATCGACTGTTCTGCGTCGAAAGAGAAGAAGTGGAAATATTTTCAATTTTTCCAAGTCGAACACACACACACATTCTATATCAATATTTTGTTTTTCAACATAAAACGTATATGAACGCCAATGTTTTGTTCTTCACTTCAGAATATTTTCCCCCCTCGATAAATCAGAAAAATTCGAAACTCTTTTCATAAATGAATGTAAAATGTGGCTGCCCCTCGCACACCATTTTTCTGTATTCAGACATGAACCCAATCTTCAGAAAAACGTATCGACCTTTTTTCACGGGTCAGGAGCTTTCGTAACCCTGAAATATGCATGATATCGATGGAAACTCATTTCTCGTCTCGCAAAACGCTTGCAAAAAGGAGGATATTGCAGCCACACAGGATTTTTTGACGAGAAAACCCTGGACATACAGTACCGTATTTGGAACAGATGAGTTTCATTGATCCTCCACTATATAGGTCCCACTTTTCTGTCAACAACGACATGCTTTCGGAAGAAAATATTATAAAAAAAAACTGAAGCTGTGGGACGAAAAAGCGGTCAAGAGAAGAAAGGAAAAAGCCCGACCACACGTGTTGCATCGAACTCGATCACGTCCACGCACGGACTATACAGTGTTTGTTCAAATCGAGTTTCTGATCAATAATTCCGGACGATCCTTCGAATCTGTTTGCGCGGTTTCAGCTCGGATTTTTACCGTGACCCAGATGCGAATCGCATCCCAGGGATTTCGAGAAGAGACCAACAGGGAACTTTTTATGGCATTACGGTTACCCGGATTCCTATATTCTCAGAATCCCGTGCTCTCGAAAATATATAGCCGACTTGGAGTTGCTGCGTGCGTGATGTGGATACTTTTCAGCGATCT